TGCGTCTCTCATGTTGTATTTGGTTGAATATTGTATTTCCTTTGTTTTCTTTAATATTATCTTCTATCATTCCGAAAAAAAAAAATGTTCAACATTCTTTACACCCACGAAACTCATTGATGGTTGGCTCCATATTAGCACAAATTCTATAATTGGTAGACTGTTTAATTGTTAGACAAGTATATTTTCCTACTAAAAATGCATTGTTATACTATGAAATGTCATACTTTTATTTGTATTGCACTATAAAATATGAGATTTAAGTATGAAAGTATAAATATAATTCTTGGAAGAATGTAGTTGTCTAACTATTAACCAAGAGAAGGCCTAATGTCGTATTAATAGTTCTAGCAATTCTTTTTTGAATTGCATATGTTGCATGTTCTTCTATTTCAAATTTTATCTTTAATTCTTTAATTGTGCGTGAGATAAAACACAAAATATTACAAAACATTGTTGAAATGGTACTTACAAAATATGATGTAGTTAGATTTATTTAGTAAATAGAGCGATATAGTAATTGGTAATAATTATGAGAACGAGTATGTATATGTTTTATAAATGTTTTTTTTTTCGAAACGATAGATTTTATAACTCAAATAGAGAGATACAAGCCAGGTTAAAATAAACCCATAAGATCCGTCCAAAAGGAAATGGAGTGGCACCCCAAGGTGCACTAGAACCTACTAATAAAAAGCATAATAGTCTACTCTCGGCATTGACAAGCAAAGGGATCCAAAGAGTAGAATTATTATGTCTTGCTGCCGAAATGACAGACTAAAAGACAAAGTTACAACCATCCCTAGATGGCCTAGTTGTAACAACTAGCTAAAAAAAAAAAAGCTACACAATAACTAAAAAGAAAGGAAAAAAAAAACAACCAGAACTAAACCAAAGCAAAGCTACCAAACTAGAGGAAAAATAAAATCCTAGCAGCTGCAACAGATCACTTCAGACAGCAAAGCAAGAAATCCAGAACACAAAGGGACGCACCAGATTACAGCAACTTCAAGGACTTGCAACACCCAAACTAACCGCAACAGCTAAAGACCCAAAGCATTGCACCATAAACTCTAGAAGCCACATTTCAGAAGTCAATCCAGAATACCAATATCAGATTCACAGCAGAGTCACCAGAGAGCATATCATCAAAAGCACCATAGGTCTAAAGCCATCAAATAGCTCAGAACCACCAAAAACACCAAAGGGAGAGAAAGGAACTGCCACCACAGAACCACCACAACCACAGGAGAGAATAAAAGAACTGACACCAAATTCATATCAAAGTCAAGAACAGATCAAGTTCAGCAAGATAGTAGAGTGAGAGAAGCAGTGTATTCTTTCCAGTTGCTCAAAGCAGATTGCACTATCAAATTAGTAGTTTTTTTTTTATTCTTTGAAAGGTCCAGAGGTTTCTAGCTTTCCAAATTTCCCACAGGATGTACACAATGAGTTGAAGCCTGTCATTAGAAGATGAGGAGAAATTAAGAGTGCAGATTTGAGTCCATCAGTCTGTGAATGATGAAGTGTCTAAAGATTTTCCATCCCAGCATAAGGGTGACAATTTCCAAACTAAAGATGAGCTGGGGCAATTCAAAAGAAGGTGTTCTATAGTCTCTACATCCTCCCCACAGCATTTACAAGTCGGGTCCAGGGTCATTTTCCTTCTCCAAAGGTTACCAGTCACTGGAAGTGTGTTTGACACACATTTCCAGAACAAATGCTTCAGTTTCCCTTGGATCTTAAGAGACCAGCTTCTTTTTCTCATCTCTGTTGTTGGCTTCTGATCTTTGCTGCTCTCAGCAAGGTCTAGAGCATTCCACTTATTTTTCATTAAACCTGAGTAAACAGAAGAGACTGAGAAGGGTTTACCTTTGCCATCACTGTCCCACACAAGCTTGTCCACTCCATTAGGATCAAGATCCTTAATTTTAAGAATAGCTGCAGTTTCCCTGGGGGAAAAAATAGAGTGAAGAGTGTCTGTGTTCCATTTCCTTCCACTCTCATCAATTAGTTCACTAACCCAGGTTAGGTTGCTCTGACCTTGTGCACTGATAATTTTAGGAAAAGACGGAATCCATGGTTGATTCCAGATATTAATGCTCCTGCCATTCTTGATGTCAAATCTAAATCCTTCATGCTGAGTGTCTTTCATAAGAGAGGCTCTCACATCTATCCAGTTGTTCCACAACCATGAATTGTTCTGCTTTTTTTTTTTTTATATTAAAGAAGCTGTCATTGTGGAAGTATCTAGCCTTTAAAACTTTGCTGACAAGAAGGTTAGGATTTGAAAGAATCCTCCATATTTGCTTGGTGATGAGTGCTTTATTCATGATATGGATTTCTTTAAACCCCAGCCCTCCCTGTTCTTTAGGTAAGGTGATGACACTCCAAGATTTCCAGTGGATGTTTTTCTTTTGCTCATTGTTACTCCACCAGAATTCAGCCACTGCTTTGTCTATACTAGCTTTGGTGGCCTTTGGAATTAGGAAGCATGACATTGAGTAAATTGGCAGGGCATTCAACACAGAATTGATAAGAACTTCCTTACCTGTAGAGGATAAAAACTTGGTTTTCCAGTTCAAAATTCTGTTTTTCACTGATTGCTCCACATAAGCAAAAGTTTCAATTTTAGATTTGCCCAACCCCATGGGCAACCCCAGGTATTTAGAAGATGTATGAACATAGATGCCATTTAGGGTGTTACAGATCTGCATTTGAATGTTTAATCTATAATATATGTATGTATGAATATATATATATTATTTTAAAAAAAAAATTAAGTTTGAGAATAATTATACATACATATATGTTAAGCAAAATGAAAAGTTTGGAGGGACAATGGCCCCCCCTAATGGTAAGGTAGATCCGCCCCTTGACACATGTGTCGTGCCAAGGAGACATATCCAGATTTTCTGGTTCCTTTGTGTCAGTTGACACTCGATTTGTACTCTGTTGAGTTTTCTAGTTATTAATATAATTGTCGCTTCAAAAAAAGATAAGCATTTATTAGAAATAACAAAAAAAAACCGTCTATATTAATGTTGATGTCGAAAATCATACGATATACGAGTGATTATGAGTCGAAGATCATGTAGAAAATTAAAGAACAAAATGATTAAAATGAGTGTTTTTATTTCTTATTGTTGAGGGTGCTTCCTATCAATTTGAGTTGGAGAAAGAAGAAAAAATGAATCAATCCCTTTCTTTCTATCTTCTTTCCTCATTTCTATACCTCGCTTTTTTTTTTCACAAGTGGGCCTAATAAAAAATAGATAAAAATGGTATATTAGCATTTAATATGAGATGACAACCGGGGGCCCACTTATGACTTTTGACGACCTTGATTGACGTCTATCGTGTCGGCAATTACTGTGTCTCCCTACGGCGGCTCTTTTATGGTATCTACGTCGGTCGACCACCTCGGATTCTGCTCGGCTTCGTAGCGGATGGACTCGGCACCCGGGATCTACTTGTAGGTCATCAGTTTTGGGAACCTGTTCGTATATTTATTTAACATGTATTTTCGGCTCCTTGGTTATTGGGTCGTTCTTTATTATTTCATATATCATTTAATTAATTGAAGCCAAATTGGGTATCAACATGAGGCCCCCGAGTTTAGGATATGTTCTTGACTGAACTGTTCTAAAGTCGCGTTTATTCTTTACAATTTGGCAAGTTTTCATCTCATGATCTTCTGAGCTTCGAGCTCTTTATATTATGTAATGAGATATATGCGTAATGAGAGTTATTGACGAAATCGCGAATGTGTTGACGAGGCGCGCGGCGGATAATTTTCGCGTGAATCATGAGATTACTCCTTATCTTGTCAGTCTTTCTTGAATGTTTTAGCACGCGATTTCTCATTTTGTATGTCCCATGGACTTGCATAATCTTATCGAGTCGCTTTGGTTACTCGAATCGTCATTTGGTCATTTTTCACTCATTATTCCCTCTTGTGTGAGTCACTTTGAAGTGTTTTACGTGAAAGATGCTGATTTTATCACGAATTAGTATGCAATTTTAGGGCGCTTTGGGTCCCCGGAGCGTTTTGTTGATCGTTTTGGGCTTTGCCCTGACGGATTTATGATAATAACGCTTTGTTCCTCGATGAGATGAATCGGTTTTGACCGAATGGGCGATTCTTGTGAATTGCTATTGGATGGGGACTGAGTGGCCTGGTCGCGCAATTTAGGACCCATTTTATGCGTAGGAATGCATTTTGAATCGTCGACTTGAGTGAGCTTAGAGCTCTTTGTCTGAGTGAGTTTTGAGCTCTTTGTTCAATTGATCTTTGAGCTCTTTGTTTGATTGAGCTTTGAGCTCTTTATGAAATGCACGAGTTACGCACAATGTGATCATATGATGAATGCGTAAATGTATGTGATGAATGTATGATAAATGCATGTGATGAATATTTGACAAATGAGAGCACCTTGTCGCATGTTTTGTTGGGCCAGACTGTTTTTGGAGTTCAATTTTAGTGTTAGGACACTTTAACCTTATGGCCCGTAGGCCTTTAGTTATACAACATTTTGACCTAACCGGGCCCCTTTGCCGAGCATGTCTTGTGCAATTTATTGCAATAATGATTATGATGTTAGCCATTCCGCCTGACCGGGCCGCCTGTTGGGCTCGGTGATGGTTTGGTCTGACCGAGCTGCTCGTTGAGCCTGGCTTGTGCATTTTATTGCACTAATTATTGTGGCACATTTTACCTGACGAGTCACTCGTCGGACTCGGTGTTATTTTTGCCTAACCGGTGACACTCTTTTACCTGACCGAGTCGCTCATTGGACTCGGTGGTATTCTGGCATGACCGGGCTACCTTGTTGAGTCCGGCTTCTTATCATTACTTTTTCACGTTAGCAACTCTCACCTGATCGAATTGTTTGTCGGATTTGATGGTATTACGGTCTGATTTGGCTACCGTGTTGAGTCCGGCTTGTGCAGTTTCTTAGCACATCATTACATGACAACTTTTACCTGACCCGGTCTCTTGTTGGATTTAGTGGTATTTTGGCCTGACCGGGCTACCTTGATCCATTATTCTGTTACCGATCGTTTAAGGTCGGCTTTTTAACTATTTCCGTAAAGTAAAGCATTTTTGATAATCGGTGCTTCACCCCAACGAACAAAGCGAAGCGAAGTGATCTTTTCTTATTTCTTGCCCTGAGCTCTATCAATTCCCTTTCATCCAGTCGGGGCCCGGCTTGTGCAGTTTCTTAGCACATCATTACGTTAATTACGTCGCTCACGACTCGATCTAGACTTAAAACGACCTAGCCTCTAAAAGCAAAATGGAAATTACATTCTTGACCTAATTTATCACATAATCTACACAACAACCCAATTTACAGAGTGGGAATAACCTAGCCTATTCGTAGAACTTCTTCAAAAACGCCGAGTTCTATGGGTATTGATGGGGGTGCCGTCAAGGTGTTCTAGTCGGTAGGCCCCGTGTGAGAGGATCTCGCTGATTTTGTAGGGCCCTTCTCATTTTGGTTTGAGAGGTCCATGGTTCGGCCCCGTTACTCTCTTATGGGCTAGGTCTCCGATCTGATATGAGCGTGGTTTGACTTGGGATTTGACATATCTCTTGTTTCGTCTTTTGTATGCGGTGTTTCTAAGATCGTCTTGTGATCGGTGCTCATCTATTAAGTCGAGGTTTGCTCTCAGGGATTCGTCGCGCCGACAAAGTGTTGATAGGCCTCGTAGAGCTGGGGCTCGTCGGCAGACGAAGTAAAGATAGGCTTGGTAGAGCTAGGGCTCGTCGGCGGGCTAGGTATTGACATCGAGCATGCAGAGCAGGGGCTAGATGGTAATGACGTCAACCCGACAGAATACAGACTCGACGACAGGCGTAGCAAACATGTTGACTTGGCTGAAGCGAAGGCAAGACGGCGGCAGGAGTAATTACGTTGGCTCGGCAGAGCAGGGGCTCGTCTACGGGCGTAGCGAAGATGTCGACCTCGCCGAAGCGAGGGCTCAGCGATGTAGATGTAATAAAATTGGCCCGACAGAGTAGGGGCTCGTAGGTGGGCGAGATGTAGGTGTCTACTGGCCGAAGCGGGGGCTCGACGGCGTAAAGAATGATCAGGTCGGCCCGACTGGATTCGGGGCTCAACAGCGGGCGAAGTAACGACATTGGCCCAGCAGAGCATGGGCTCATCGGCGTTCTAAATGAAGACGCTAGCCTGGCCGAAGCTCAACGGCGGACGAAATAGAGACGTCGGCCACGCCGGAGTTGGGGCTCCACGGCAGGCTAAATGAAGACGTCAGTCTGGCCAGATCTGGATCTCAACGGCGGGCGAAATAGAGACGTTGGCCTCGCTGGAGCTAGGGCTACACGGCGGGCTAAATAGACACGTCGGCCTTGCCGGAGTTGGGGCTAAACGGTGGGCAAAATAGAGACGTCGGCCTCATCGGAGCAGGGGCTCATTGACTGGCTAAATGAAGACGTCAGCCTGGCCGAAGCTGGGGTTCAACGACGGGTGAAATAGAGACGTCGGCCTCGCCGAAGCCAGGGCTCAACGGCGGCGAAATAGAGATGTCCGTCTGGCCGGAGCTGGGCTCCACGGCGGACGAAATAAAGACGTCGACCTGACCGGAGTCGGATCTCAACGGCGGGCTAAATGGGGACGTCAGGGGGACGCTCGGTAGTGATTAATTATTTATTGTAAACAACCGTATATCAAAATATGTTTGATCTTATCTTCAAAAAATCATTTAACATTAATAACAAATCATGGTGATTTTTTATTCATTTGGTAACCAATCGTATACTAAAATATGTTTGATCGTATCTTCAAAGAATCATTTAATTGATAGGATTAGTTTAGAATCCTTTGATTTATCAATTTCCAGTTTTTCAAAAATTATAAACTCAATTTCCAAAATATCAAAAGAAATTTAACTATTTATCTTTAATAACAAGTCAATCTTTACCCTTAATAATAAAATCATGAGTTTTCCTGTTTTATTGGGTATCTAACCATATATAGACCGAAATTTGCGTCAGAACATTGCAAAATATAAGTACAAAATAGATATGAAAATTGATTACAAAAATCTTATTGATATAATTACCACAATACTATAGTATAATTGATATCTCAACATCAATAACAAAATATTAAAAATTTAAGAAGTTAAAAAACATTATTTGATTTTACAATAACCGCACCAAACCAATCTTTTAAAAGTTTAAATTTCAATTCACAATATCATAACAATCTCACATAATATAAAGAAAAATTATATTATTTATAATATTATAAATTATAATAAAAACTAAAATTGATATTAAAAATTAATAATTTTTGTTAACTTTTGAATATTATATATTACAATCTTTTTTTTTGGTACAAATATTACAGTTTTTTTTTTTTTTTTTTTTTTTTTTTTTTTTTTTTTTT